GACACATATATGGATTTCTTTTGTAAATAATAAAATTTACAAGTTTCTGAAGTGATTATGTTTCTGAAATGCAAATTTTTACCAACAAAGTAATTTTTCAAACCAAATTTTGGGCGCTTACTGTAGCTTAGCCATTCGAAATCTCAAAGTTTATTAGACTAAATATGTTTAAAATAGACGTAAGAACTTATTTTCAAAGTTATCTTGTTTCAGCTCAAAACTTTTCCCATTTCAATCTAAGCGTTTGTTTTTCGTCTTCACCCGCAATTGATATGGATATTGCTGTCGATTGCTACAACGCTTCGGGGTGTCAAAACTCCTTATATCATCATATTCGTGATATCTATTGCGAAATTCGGTCTGGTCATTAAAAACTCTCCGCTTAGTTGCCGGGCGATGGCTAGAGTCTGCGTGCGGCTAGCGATTGCTATTAGTATCATTGCCCTAGGCTGCCGTTAGCTTTCCGACTTACAAGCACGTTGGCGCCTGAGCCTAGGAAGCGGCGTCTCCCGGACAGACGTGTAGGGCGGAGGAAACCTATGCTCTCATCATGGGACACGTTCATGAGTAGAGTGAATGTGATGGCGAAAAATATCATTGAAACTAATGAAACAGACAAGGTAGATTGATATAGGTTTAAACAGCTATGGTCATTGGCGCCCATGCCATAATTTAAAACCGAGAAATTTAAATCAAAAAACGAAACCGAGACAAAAATAAATTTGCCCAAAATAACCCATTGAAGATGCAACTTTCACGTTGAATAAAACAGTATAAATAATTTAAAATAAAGTGCAGATGGTAAGAGGTTCAATTCGCAGGACGAAACCATGCAAAAAGTGTCAATGGCCGATGCGTAGACGCGTTGAAATTACTTCCTCACGCCTAGCGGCATGGGATGAGGAAGTCTAGGGCTTTATGGAATCCTTAATTGCCCTTTATTGAAAAGTGGCATTGTGCCACTCTGTCTGTCAAGCAAGTCCATTTTCAATGGACCGTTTTAGATATGCCTTTAAATCTGATCAGTGGGAATGTTAATGTCCGACTTCCCAGTTCAGAGCCTGATCAGCTATTTCATTGCCAGTAATTCCCACATGGCCTGGGATCCAACAAAGTACAAGATTATAGCTGCAGAACAACAAATAATGAATCAGTTGTATTGTTGTCGTTAAGTAATTTGCAGGAGAGAGAGAGAGAGAGAGAGAGAGAGAGAGAGAGAGAGAGAGAAAGAGGGTTTGAAGGGACCTATGATAATCAAAGCAAATAACTCGCTGGAAAGAGGTTAATTCGATATCTTTAAAAGCTTCGAAAACTGCATACTTCTCAGCTATGAATTCACTGCACAGATAATGAATTCGAAAGGACTTGGTACAATAAAAACTGCATGTCTCAGGATCATTGGAATCAGGATATATAAACATATGGTTAGCATATTCTGCCCTCATATCAGTAGCACAACAGTAGTTTTCATTGCAGAAACATTGAAGGCTGAGAAGGTGCTACATTTATGTAGTTCATTAAGAACTAGTTGAAGTTGCCTTTGGATGAAAGCCAATGTTGTTGCTGGATGAATAAAATATGGCAAAGTCTTCCACAAACATCTATGCCTTCGCACGACTGACTACTGTCTATGGCAATGGAAAACAGAGTGACACTCGGCATCGTCCCTTGCGGGATGCCATTTTTTTAAGAGAGTGACTGCTACCCAGTTTGTCAACAACTCAAACACGGAAAGTTCTCTTTTGTCAGAAAATGTTTGAGGAACATGGGGAGCGTCTCCATCAATCCCCAAAACTGCAAGGTTTCCAGAATGCCTTACCTCCAGGTGGTTTCATAAGCCTTTTCTATAACAAATAGTACGGCCACAAGGGTTTTCTCAAGACGAAATGTGCAGAAATGTCGGTTGCCAATGCAACGATTTGGTCCAGGATTGATCGGTGTTTTCTTAAACCGCACTGGATTGGGGTGAAGATTTCTGCACTCCAACATCCAGACCAAAAGCTGAATTACATTCCAGCACTTTACAAACGCAGCTGGTAAGAGAGAGAGGACGACGATAGAGAGATAAGCTCGATAGCTATGATCGATCCTTTCCCTCGTTTAGAACTGGAAAAACTATGGCTTCTCGCCATTGAGCATGATGGTGTGCTCTTCTCCTAAGCGATTATAAACCAGGAGAAATTGCATCGCCATTTCAGGAAGATGCAGAACAATTAGTTTAATCACCTGCCCGAAATTTGATCAGAAATATTGAAATTTTGTTAAGTACTTGGGAACTGAATTTATTGTAATAAAAATAGCTTAAATACATGAGTATAAGGTACCACCATAAAAATAGCTCAAATGTATACAAATTTCTAAGGACCTGGAGCGCAAACGAACAACTGTACCATGTGTCCAAAAATGTATCCCAGAGATAAGAGTTTAAGGGGTAACGCTTACAACATAATGTTCCAGGATTTATTAGTTGAAAACCCACAATTGATATACTTTTGTCATTAGTTTGTTTAGCGCTACATTGACTGGTTAAAAAGTTTAATTTTAAAAGTTTGAAGGTACAAGGGAACGGAACAAACATACAGAATTTTTTACGAAAAAATAATGAATTAATAAATAACAATTTTCTATTAGGTTTTGTTCATAATCTACTATTGTATTCAGAAGTAAGTTTTTTTAAAATTATAATTATCTTTTTATGCTACCGGTTTTTTATAACATTATTTCCAATACTCTATTGGGAATTCCTATAATGGAATCAGTTGAAGGATAGTCTATTCTTCAACAAGCATATGATGATTATTTTTCACGAATTGATTTTTACGAGACCTTTCACCTTACAGCGTAGGACAGGAGACGTATTTTCTACGAGTGAGTCATTTCCGTTACACGCCTTTAGAAGACTATACTTTCTCTACTACCTTCGAAATATGTAACACAGTTTTTGTAATTTTTGCCCTCTCTGGCTGTTATTGTGTGGAATAAATCAGTGAAATGACTAATTTAGTTTTGGTGTTCACTAATTCATCAATATATGGTGAACCTTACAGCGAGAGTCGCTGTTTCTAGAGAATATTTATGTTTCAACAAAGGAAAGAACTGCTACAAAAATGTCTCATCTACAGTAAATTAAGAACGATATAGATATAAATAGAAAATAAAACAATATTTTCTTTGAGATATGCTAATGTTAACCTTTCAATGCGTTTAGATTCATTTTTAAATCATGCATTTAATGAGTTTTCTTTTCTATTGATAGCCCTTGATAATTTTATTTGAAACAACTAATAGATTTTTCTATTGAAATTACGAATCTACATTCTCAAAATATAAGCAAATGTTAATGTTTTTCAACTGAAATTTACAATTTTTCTCTCTTTTGTAAAAAATAGACAAACATGTTCACATTTCATGTATGAACAATCTCTACACGAATATATAATAAATGAAATTACTCTTTTATTCTTGTGCACTCTGTAAATGTCGAATTTCTCCAAAGGCGATAGTTGCAAGGGTAAAGGAAATATACTCTGTTTAATTTAAAACAACATGTCAGAAAGTGCTTTAACTCAAGTTACAAGTAACAAATATGACTTTTTTTAGTATATTCATATATAGTAAGAAAAAACAAAATACCCTTTAAAAAAACAAAAATTATTACATTTCTTGAAAAATAAAATTTAGCAAACAATATCTCTACGACCTATTATTTCCTCATGATTCCACATTTCAGCCAAAACTGCATTTCTATTTAGTGAACTGTTTCGAAGTTAAGAAGTTTAGTAATAAATTGTTATAGAGAAAAAAATACGAATATATCGTTCTGATACTAAGACATTAACAACGTATCCTTTCTGAGCCCTTTCAAATAGCGCCTTGATTTCTGAAGTTTCCGTCCAAACATCCCTTCTTGCCACCTGTGCAGCCACTAGTCTACGCCTCGAAGCCCGAACAAGGCCACCTGCCGCAAAGATGGTGAATGTCGCACGCCGCTGTTACAGTAATAGAAGGATTTCAGTACGGCGGTGCACCGGCGTGTAATATCAAATAACGTCGCAGAAATAACTTTTTAAAAGCACTATTGCTTTCTAAACATTAACAAATATATCATTGTATTCCTCCATTTATTATCTAGCTATTGCAGGTGAAATTGCAGGCAGTTCAATTTAAAAATCAAAGATTATAGTAACTGTTCTTTTCAGTTTCTTCTGTAACATATTTTATCGAACAATCACTATTGTGAAATTCGCCTTCTTTTCATGATGCGAAGTACCGCATAGTGTATAATCTCCTCCCTATGAAGACGATCATGTTACAAAACTCAATTATTTATTTTTATTACTTCCAGAGTGTTTGTCTAGTCATTTCTCACATTTCTTTTTATGTTTATTTCACTTATTAACTCCTGAAGCTTCACAAGGAATATTAAGTGGCCTAGTCGCATGGGTATTGTATTACGCTTTATATTTCACTATTCAAAAAGTAGGTACAGTTTGTTAGTAAGTACCTATTGCTTACCGTCTGATGTTATTCTCAATTTGTTGTTAAAAATTTTGATTTAGACTTAAAATATAATTATAAAAGGCATACTATGCAACTAATTTTTCCTATAGATAGTTGTACTGCGTTTTACAATACTGACTGTAATTTCAATTTATTGTCTAAAACGTTGCTTTATTCCTGGTTCCAACAGGGTGGTTCACGAGTTCACGGCCATAGTGTCAGAGGTGGATCTTAATCCAAAATGCAACAGCTCAGTTTCTATAACCGTATTCACAAAATACAAATAAAATGCTATATAACAAATTATGATCAATGACACAAAGGAACGTGACAAAAAAACAAAAAAAACTGCACTCGGTATTATCACAATTGTAACTAATAAGTCTGAGATATTAGTAACTAGTTGTTAGTTGTACTGATTGACTAATACTTTAGTTACTGGTGTTATATTGATAACTAATCGTTTTAGATATTATTAAAAAAATTGCAGTAACTAATAACTAAAAGTTAATATTTATAAATACTTTTTCCTGGCTACGTGACAGATCACGTTTCTGGTCAAAGTGAGATTGGCCCAAGGAAAGCGTGACCCTTGTGGCGCGGCATATTGAGTCATTGCGGCACTGGGTGTGGCTGGTTAAAAAGAAGCATTCAATATTGTCGTCTGGCTTCTTAATCATCTGAAGTCTCATTAGGCTATTGTAATTCATTAGTTCATTGCGTTCTGCAACTGGCATTTCTCTCTACAAAGGAGACGACACCAACACACAAAAACAGAACTCAAAATATAATAAACGCCGATAATTAACAGTTTTGTTTCAGTCAAATGAGAATATATTCTGTGTACACAAAATTATAATTATTAAAACATCCTATCGCTTCCTTTTGAAAGCAAAATTTTTAAGACAAATAATTAACTTATAGTTAAATAAAATTCGTCATTCTTCCAAAATTCTGGAAGCTCTGATATATAAAATTCGATAAGATCGAAAAAACAAAATACGAGTAGATGCTGACAAAATTGGATTTCCTGAAAACGTGATAAAATATGACGGTGACAAACCTCTGCATCGCATCTTATCACACCACGTTTCATTGGCGAATAAAGGAAGTGTGTAATCCCTAACTAATCTACTTTGATTTGATATGACATGTAATTTTAATGCCCCAGAATTCTAAATGCCTAGTTAACGCCGGAACGGCGCGAAGTGCCGGTTTAAATGACTTCCCTAAGTTGTACCGTATACTACATTTCAGCCATGTTAGTCCTACTTTTTTCAAAATCCAATAAACATCGTAATCGTCGACTAAAGCAATTCCGACCTATTGAAATTTGCAGTGTATCTTCGTAGCTTTGCTTCTTGGCGCACCTCTCGCAAATGCAACAGGGCGCCCGAGCTACAAGGTGACCTCGTCCGCCACCTCCAGGTCGCGCAACCCCACTTCCGCGTTGTCGCATCGGTCGCGGCCGAGAACAACGGGGGATATCAGACGACGCGACGAGCGACCGCCTCTGCGGCGCCGGGTCCCTTACCTTCGCCAATAGCGGCGCCGCGACGCTCCGTTTGCTCGCCGCCGTCCAGACGCCCCCGCCGCCGCCGCCGCCCCGGGCCGGGCCGGGCGACCGCGCTGTTTGCCGGTCTACACGTCCTAACTAGTACAGTCCTTATGTTGACATTGATGTGAACATACAGACACACGGGTTCCGAGCCATGGCAAGAGTTCGTGTAGGCCCAATCAGAGTCAACACGTGGCTCCCAGGAATCTCCGAGCGGCCGGCCGCGCGTGTTTGCTCGAGTGCTGGGCCGCGGCCGTCGCCAGCGCCAGCGCCGGCCAGCGATCGCCGCCGGCAACTGTTCCGCCCCTTGCCGACCACCGCGCCAGGGCACGCCGGGGAGAACTGTTTCTCTTATCGCTGCCGCCGCCGTTGGCCGTAGAGTTGCCCTTCATGCTGGGCCGCGCAGCTTTCGAATATAATTTTCCTCCTTTTTTTTCCCCGCATACGTACTACTTACGTAGTTTACAGAAAGTACAGTAATGCTGCAGGAAAAAGAAAAAAAGGAATTTTTCATCAGAAAGACTCATATTCTGGAGTCTTGATGCGGAAAAATTGGAGAAATCTTCATCATATATCTAGTAAATTACTTCTCTAACATGTTTTTGTTTGTTTGTTGTTTTTTGTAATTTAAGGTCGCATCAACATTAGGTCATTAGCGCCCTGTATTGCATTTAACTGTATGGTAACTGTGAAGATGGAATGATATGGTGATTATAGGAGGTGAAAGGACGACCACTAATACAACCATGCCCGAGGTGGGACTCGAATGCGCGATCCTTAGAATCCGAGATCGCTACGGCACTAGTGCCGGACATCTGACTCTAACCCGTTGTGTAGACAGAATTCACGTTTATAGATCCTTGCTACCGAAAAATTAGTTGACGGCAAAACATCCATCCGTCCGTCCGTCCGTCCGTTCGTCCGTCCGTCCGTCCTTCCTTCCGTCAGCCATTCTGTGGTCAACGCTTACACCTTAACCGTGCAGACGATTTTCTTCAGAATTGATAGTCCCCGTTGGATCTGACCGCACTCATTTTTGGGATTACTTTACATGAAGCCGTCACATTTTCAAAAGTTTCTGAAAATTGCTCCAAAATTTTGTATTAAATATTTTCTCCCGAAAAAAGTAAATAGTGCTTAAAAATTGCTCAGATGTCATTTTCTTTGAACTCTGAATTTCCGATAATTTTAAAAGTTACCAATAATGCAAGAAAGTGCTGTGAGCTGTTGTAGAATCACTAGTTATAATAATGGAACATCCAGTTTTTTAAACTCTGAAAAGAGCTTCGGGTAGAAATATTCAATACGAAATAAGTTCAAAATTACCAAAAGTGGACTTGATTCCTTTGTACACTCAACGTCCTTTGGAAATCAAATTCAGGGAAATGGATGAATGCCCTTAGAGACGTGGTAATGGGGCAGAAAGAGGTTGGCGAGGAGCGCCGCCTCCTGGAAGTGGTCCGGGCAGTGCCCCTTGCAAACAAATTCCAAAAGCTGCTCAGGGGCAGGCAGTCGCCCCCTTCGTGTGGGCGACGACTTGCCTGCGCTATTATGACGTGGTTGCGTCTCCGGCAGGTATTCTCATGTTAATTCTTTAATTTATGCTACGCAAGTTCATAACAATAGTAAATTTTAAAAAAATAATGCAGTTTTCTGGAGCGGAAATAGAGAATATTTTGATGACTGTTCGGCTACAATGCCTTCACGTTTGATATTTAGGGTGCAGAAACAGTGCAAATGGACGCAAGAAAGGGTTGCCAGTTTTTGACATCCACCTTTGAAGTTAAACTTCTTTCATTTTTGATTGGTGTTTTCTTTCCCGCAAACGTAGTAAACGTTGTGCTGCAGCAAAAAACGGCGATTATTTGACAGAAAAGTATCTTAGGTCTCTTTTACAGAGAAGTGGAAAATTCTTGTTCCTATTTCAAGTAAATTACGTTTTCTAACACATGTGTAGTCAAAATTAATGTTTTATGAGATCTTGATAATAACAAAGCTGTGAACAACGCTAGCGACAAAACCCTACAGATATTTTTCACTGAAATTTATATTCTCCGATCGATCTGATAGAGGTTGTGGCCCCTGGAATTTCAAACAGATATTTTCATTTCTGAAAGGTGCTTTACCTGAAGCCTCAATGACATTTTCAAAATTTTATAAAAAATTGTTCCGAATTGTTTCTTTAATTTTTTAATCACAAACCGTATTTTTTACCTCAAAGTAACCTAACAAAAATGACGCAGGCCCAATTTTCGTTAAATGCTCGAAATTTTCGACAAAAGTTAAACTTTTTTTGACATTTTCCTGCAACTAGAATATTGACGATAGTGCAGTAGTGTGTTTTTGGGGTTGTGATTTGTTTAATTATTAATTCCTAGTCCAATATATTAACATTGTTGTTTCCCGTGTGTATCAATAGCCTGAGATATATATATTATTATAATATATATATATTATATATATATAATATGATATAATATATATATATATATTAACGGGAGTTGCTCTACAGCTGTGCCGTTTCTCCGCTCTCAGTCCTCATGCCTCTCTATTGGACCATAGAGTCATTCTTGGCAATTTCTTCTTGCCCGTTCATAGCCTCTTGCACTCCCTGCTGCCAAGCAAAGTTCTGGGTTCCTCTCTTTCTGGTCTTCCTGTTGAACCTCATTTCGAGGAACTCGTTTGGCCTATCTTTCGTCCTGTGAGTTCGGCATAATCAGTGACTGTACCTAGATGATTTGTTTTTTTCTCTATTCGTGCAAGTGATTAGATTTCTTTGACATTCATTTTTCTTCTTATTCCGTCGTTCCTGATTCTGTCTAACGTGTGCTATAATTACGCAACTTCTACCCAGTAGTCGCATTCAAAGGGCCAGCAGTTCTTTCTTCTTTATCGATCCTCCCAAATAACTTCTGAATACCGTATGTTGTAAGCACTTAACTAGTCGAGGAGTAAGTACTGTCTTCTTTGGTAGTGTTAGTATGGTTTTGGTTCGCATAAGACAGAGTTTATGACTGTCGTGACACGTTCTCCCAAGCTATTCGTTCTCTCAATTTAGTCATGGCTATTTCCTTATTGTTATAAGTACAAACCCAAGGTCTTTATATTTGTTACCCCTTTCAATTTTTTCTTCCCATTTTCCACAAGAATATCTTCTATTTCATTTTTACCAACTGCCAGGTATTCAGATTTCAGCCCTGAAGATGCAATTAAATATTCCGAAACGTCAGCATGCTGAAATAACATGTGTTGATTTTAACTCTATTTTAATCCCATGATTCTAAACACTCGTCAATTTATTTAGTTAATCACGAATTTTTCGGCAACCGTTAATATCAAATATAGACTTCTTCTTAACAAAATCTAATCTAAGTATGATATTTAAATAAGGTCAGACAGAATTTTTTGAAAATATGTTCCACTTTTCCGGTATTAGGAACCTAAAATATGATTTTTATTCTGTCACAAAATCGCCGTTTTCTTTGGTGCTGCATTACAATTATGTCTCCTTACTACGTAAGTACAAAGCGAAAAAATAACGCCTGACCAAAATTAAAGAAGTTTATCTTTATTGATTATTGGCAAATATTGGCAACGTCCGTCCAGAAACCATTTGTGTGGCTTCTGAACCCTAAATATTGATCACGGACGATCCACAGCTGAACAACCCTAACATTTCTGAATTGCATATGTCTAGTAGGCATTAGTAAAGCATGTAATGTAATCCGGATTTGAATTAAAATGGTTTTATTTTTACTTTCTTCTAGTGGCGGGTCGCGCTTAGGTTATACGGTTACACAACCCCCAGATAATCGAAAAATATTTTACAGTGTGTTAAAAATATACATTCTCGTTTTAATGGCATTCAATATTCAAGATATTGTTGCAATATGAATGTATGAGAAATCATTTTGAAACCAAAGAGCGCCCAACAGGAGTTCTCTCCGGCGCTTGGTGTTGCAGGACTCTCAGGAATTGCACCACGCCCCTGGCTCTTACCTCTCTTGGGCTTCATTCACAATGCAAACTTAAACATAAAAAGAATGAAGCCGCGAAACCTAGAAATAAGTTATTAAGCGAGACCATTCACAACGTCTTGTTACCATAGACATAAATCCGTAAATGTAAGAGTTCACAAGCACCAAGCTTTTACGTTAAGTTTATGTCGGAATTCTACAGAACACCAATTAGAGAAGTATGAAAGAAGCAAACATGATGGATTTCAGATTGTGTTCAGGTAGTTTGTGATTGTCATTTCATGACTGTTATGTACTAAACTAGTTTGCGAACGGTTTTGATGCAAGTAGTTAATTTAAAGAAGGAATTTGCGCCATTTTCTTCTGACTTGGCGAAACTTGGCGGGGCGAATAAAATAATTACGTTCAATGAATTACTCATGAATTTACTACAAGAGAATCCTTGTTTACAAAATTGCAAAAATTCAATTATTAACGGCATTGAATCCATTACTTATGATATTTGGAGAATTCAGTTTCTTTTGATGTTATATTTTTGATTCAAAATGTCTCGTACATTTGATTGAGTCCTTAGTGTGAAGTTGGCCGTTCTGGAAGAAAGTTCCTTTCTGTTTCTCACGGTGTGTGCGTATTTTCACTTTACGTAAGATTTTATATTTTTAAATTCATCATATATTTCAAGAAAAAGAATTACTTACTTATAGGACTTACATGAGGCGTAGGCAATCCAAATTCACCGTTTGTTTTACTTCTTAATAAAAAAAATCACATCTTTTAGTAGAATTGAAGCACGGTTTTTGGTCATACGAATATTTATATTAAATTATGGACAACTTCAAAAATTTATAATTAAATCTTCTCTAATATATGTTATTATAATCAATAACATAAAAATCATGCTTCTCGTGGGAATTTAACATTAATTATTCTCAACTCATTAACAAAGCTAATTTAATTAAAAATGTGAAGGATCCCTTCTCCACACATGAGATAGATAATGTGTATACAGTATACCTACAAAAAACTCGTTGGAAATACTACACGTCCGGCAATGGTTTTAAAGTGTTCTGTTAGATATAATTATTTGACATATCTCCATATGACTGATAATTTTATACACGCTGCAATATCATCTGAGCGCGTCCCTTTGTTAGTGTTATAGTTTCGAATATCTCCCATGGGTTAAATAAACCCATAATCCCACCGAAACCGCTATGTTTTCTTTTTATGGTTGTCATACGTAATTAGAACCCGTACACAGGTTTACCAAGCTTTCTTAAATCTTGTACACTCCGATTAGTAGCGTCAAGAGAAGTATGGTGAGCTATTGCAAATGTGTCCCCTTCAATGAGAACATAGGCATGAAGTATTTTACCTCTTTGACTGTTTTTAGAAGCACCGCACACGGGATGTTTCAAACAATAAACAGTTATTGGCATTTTAGACATATAGTATGCGGTTTTACCCCCTGGCAAAAGTCACTGTTATATCTGATTGCACCCGTGCGTATTGCAATCTGCGTTTCATTTTTGGTTTTCGACAATATTAAATTAATGTTTTGCCTGCATCACTTAGTGCATTACAAAAATACGTCAAACTGCGGTATCAACGCTTTCCAGTATCGATTCATAAATTTACCATTGGTTGATATTTAATTTTAATTTACCATTGGTTGATCTTCTCTAAAAAATTTCCCGCAAAGTATTTCCCACAATTTCAATGGATTTGAACATTGCAGAAACAAACATACTATCTTAGTTTCACACTGGCTTCTGTAAATATTTCGTGGTAGTAAATGTCAATTTTATTAGATACATACGAGTATAATTCATTTTGACTGAGATAGGTCAAATACTCATTTTTTCCTAAATGTTTGCTTTAAGCCAATTGCTTTAAGAATAAATTAGTGTAATTAATTACTTAATGGAAAGATGTTTAATAACTAGTTTGTCTTTTGCAATACTCAAAAATTAATAAATTAAGGCAAGACATTGCACTGCAACTTTGTAATTAAACGTAGAAAGAGCGACAAGTAATGCAATTATTTACACATTTTCAATACTATATATTAATCTTTGAACTTTTTTAAATTTTTTTTTTTTAATTTCAAACGACAGAAGTTTTCAAGTATTCAAACATGAAACCATTTTGTGCTGCCATCTTCTGGCTAAATTTCAACTTAAATTCTTCGCCGAGAACGGCCGCCAGTTTATACCGTGCTACTATCTAGTGGCAGCTTCATGAGATAAACTCGAGAATCAAATCGATGTGAACAGCTCTCATGATGGAAGGACACGATCATACTCTCATCTCAAGAGTGGGTTTTCCATTTACTCCTGAAGACTTCATTTACCTAAGCCATCAAATAACCAAAATTAAGTATATCAATATAATCAATAATTTTCTCAGGAAATAATAATCACTAACTTGTTTCATTTTCCTATCATGAATTGGTCCGGTTGTATCCAGTCATGAATTGTTTTGAATACGTGCATAGCCTATGAATATTTTCTTCTATACCAGCATTATAAATGATCGTTGCCATTGCAAGAAATCGTCCATAAAGGACATATAATGGCACAGCCCGTCTGCCCCGCCCGACCTCCCCCCTCTCACCCTGAAGTCCTCTCTGCGCGTCATCCTCAACTGTTCCAGTCCCCACTGTCCGTCCTCCCTTTCTGACGTCATAATACTAATATCTTAAAATGCCAATACAAAACTGATTTTAAAATTGGTTTTCCAAAAATAATTTTTGTGCTTTTGTAATTTTATAATGCTATTATACAAAAAAAATAGCGAATGCAATTCGATTATATTGTTGCTTTAATGCATTCGTGCAAGCTCATACCCGATCCTATAGTTTTCAAAAATATGTTCTTACGCAATAAAACAACAATATAAACTATCTGCGTAATGTACTTTTATATGGTAGCATGGCGAATAGCGTACCATTAAAGTAATATTTTACTGAACTTTCAGAAAACAGATATCTTTAAATAAAACTTCTCTACGTAAATAATTTATGTCCGCAAATACAAGATCGGAGTACTCGGACTCACATCAACGTTCGATTACGACTTTCAAGTTCAGATCGCCTGAAGACGGCTAGAACCACTACAGGCCAAAAGGCGAGATCAATGGCGGGCCAATACATCCGGGAGGTCAGAGAAAATTTGACAAGTAGGTCTACGGCATTAGAACAATCATAGCAGATCATAAATATGCATAAATATATCTTTTTATCATTATGTAGTACATGTAACACCAATTACCGTTTTTAAAATCTCTCTATTTTTTGTACTTCATGTATTTTTTTTTAAATTGGTGATCGTTCAAAAAGTCACAGACATGTCAAGCAATTGCTTCGACAGGGCTTTTAACGACCCCACGAGCATTCTTGATTTTTGTTTACTGTTCTAATATGCTCATACGTTTCAAACTCATTTGTTTGAGAGCTTGGCACACTTTTAGTTGTAATTATAGAATCAAAATGGTTTTCCCTTTTTATACATATTACTCCCACAAAACTGTGTTTATTTACTACCATGACTATTGAAATGAACATATTTTTTGCGGTTTTGCCCTTTTCTAACAACGATCAATTTAGAGAAAGTCATTCAGATATTATAATTTCACTTCAATCCCAATCGTCTTATAAATCGCAATAGTATCTTAGTCACGATCATATAGTGCTCCTACAGTACTCCACGTAAACAAGATCCCAATTTTTCAAAACAAAATCCACCACAAGGCAACCGGATTCGCATGATTTGCCAGGATTCAAAATAAAAACCTAAAAGATCAAATACTTCATACCGCTCACAATTTTACTTCCACAATTAGTAAGTCGAAAAAAATAACAAGCCAGAATAAAAATTTACAAATTGTTGGTTGAAAGCAAACGTACATGTGACTCAGAAGTTCGGTTTCTAAGTCAGAGTGAAGGGCAAAAATTAAAATCAATAGAAATAAACTACTGGAGAAGCTGTTGTGAGCTAACATTACTGAATAAAGTACCTGTATGGACTAGGAGCAGATTTTAATGAAATGTCTATTTTTCACTGTTCGAACAATTCCGTTTAGTCCTATAGAAATTCATTTTATGTTATGATTGAAACTGAACGATAACCCTTTCTTATTAGTCACTTTTTTGCCATTTTTTTCGTCGATTTCGATTACATAAGTACATTTTTTTACGTCATTTACGTCATTCTCTACTTAATTTTTTGCTAGTGATTTCATCGTTTTAATATAATTTTATTGCGTCTTTGGTTCAAATAATATGTACAAGCGTGCCAGACAATCTGTTTCACCCACAGAATTCCTGAGCTAGCCTACTCTATATTTCTGTCGCTTATATATGGTAGTGTCAGCTGTGTGTGAATACTGTGTAATCTAATGTTTTCTTGACGTTTCTCGGACGTCATTGTCAGTGTCGGCCGATTTTCGCAGATAAAATAAAGGCAGATATTTTCAACAGATTAGTAGCCAAACACAAAGTTTGCAAGCTGAAGCTTCAAAAGGAAGAAGCCTTCGATTATATCCAGTGACATATCCGACAGCTTGAGAGTTTATCTGACAGGTAGTTTTCTCTGACAATCGTTTTTTATCGTCATTTTTATTTGTTTTTAGGCCATTCAAAACATTTTAATGATCATTTTTAATGAGCATTTTATTGATCATTTTTGGCGATGTTTGATCATCAAAAACCTCCCCTACGATGGCATATGCCAACAGCAAGTCGCCAAATGAGGCTCGCCCGAATTAAATATATAAGTATGTCTAATTCGCGGGTCGCTAAAGGCTAACAGCCAACGCTCTTTTGATTATTCGAGATAAGTTAAGGACTGCTGCACTGCTCTATATGCCTGTACCTCTTTTAGTGTAGGAATCGTGAAGTCAGAAGTTGGTCAGACCCTATTTAATGTAATTATATCTCCTCTCT